TTTCAGTGACGTCATCTGTGCCAGCTCCCCCTTTCCGGGACATTATAACATCGTCAAACCCCGTGGAGTAATCCCCCACCAGACCCCATGAAATTATCCCCCACCAGACCCCATGAAATTATCCCCCACCAGACCCCATGAAATTATCCCCCACCAGACCCCATGAAATTATCCCCACCAGACCCCATCAAGTGTGCCAGTATTCACTGTGCCAGAAACGGCCTTTTATCACTACTCATAGCGAACATACAAAACGGAAAGAATTGACAAAATATCTACACTAAACAAAGACGAAAGAAAAAAAGAACAGCATGTTGTTGAAGTTGTAAAACCTAACTTTAATCAAATAAAAAAGCACAAAAATGAAAAATTCAATGTAAGTTTTCTTTTTTGGTTGTTAGCTATGATTATTGTCTCCTTTTTACGTGGTTAGTTTGATTTTTACGATGAATGTTTCTTTTTTGTGCTGGTTTATTAAGTTAAACTTTGGAAATAAATTTTGCCCAGGTCAAAAAGTTGAAAGGAAATTTAACGCTCTTTTGATGGCTTTTTTGAATTCCTAAGAAATGAATAGTTGAAGACCTACGAATAGATTTATTACGAAAATCATAGATAGTGGAAAAAAAGATAAAATGTTGACCATTGTTCATATAAACTTTTATATTCTGTTTGAAGCGTAGAAGTATCTGACGTACTTTGTCGTACGGGTAGTGAATCAACTTGTATAAGAGTGTTTTACTTTATTTCCCCAATATTCAATGTATTTTACGTTAAATCTGCGATTGAACCTGAGTTTAAAATTGCGCATTTATTGTAAACATAGATTTCTTATATATAGATATTTTGTATCTAACCGCAAAAGGTTTATATCAAGCGCTTTATACTAAAATATAAATACTGTTTACTGAGAATTGCAAATTACAGAGGTGGGAGGATATTTTTATTCGTTGGTATAAAAGAAAATACTGCTTCATTATGTCCAATGTACAGTACACTTACAAAACTCATTTTGAAACAATTTTAGACGCAATTTATAAAACAGTTTATTTTTAACTGTATAAACTGCAGATTTCCAGGGCGACCATTTTAATTTATGGATTTTTTTAGTTTCCCTTCCGTTCATATTTATTAACTTATACAAAACAGTACAAATTTTCATCATTACCAGCAATAATTGAAATAAATTGAATATTCTTCAAAATACAATAGCTTAAGTACCGTAAAGTCTTAAAGTCCCTTCGGCCTTTCCGAGAGAATTTGTGGATACACAAGTGTAGGTTCCAATGTCCTCTTTGCTGAAACTGCGGATCACCAGCCACATCAGTACTTTGTACGTTGATCTGTTTTCCATGATGGAGTATTTAGAACTGAAACAGACGATAACAAAGAAATTAACAATAAATATTAAAACATAAACGCAATAAATTTGGATGCTATGTTTCCATAGTGTCTCTCTCCATGAATTTAGTCTCCAGTCCGAACGCTACAATTTCTTAAGGAAATGAATAGGATGGCCGCTTGTTATTTTAACTATAATTGTAACCAGTAGCGTGACAGATATTTCAAATTCCTTTCAAATATATACAGAAGGTATTTCACTTTTCCCTACTTTCATCCTATTCGATTATCCCTTGTGCTCGTTCTAGTTTTTCTAATTTTGCCGAAACCGTCTCATCTTAGTGCCACCTTTTTGTTTTACGTCTTATTTTTTACATTTGTAGATAGATTCAACGGACTTAACCCCATTGACGTGCACGATGTTTTGAAGGCGTTTTTCATATCACGTGTATTGTGAACATGAAAAATAAATAAATAAATATATATATTTTTAAAAATCAAATTGAATATTAGAACGAGTAAAGTTACTTAGTCAAAAAATCTTAACATCGCATATAACTAGTGTTACATTGATAATTTGAAAAATAGCTCAGGTAAATAGTAAAAAGCAGTGGGATATATTGAACGAAAATGAGGGCGATTTGATTGAGACATACATAAAAACGCAGGTTTCATTTCTGTTAATCCCTGCAGAGAGTAATTAGGCCAAGGTCTTTCTTTATGTGTCCCAAGTTGCTATTGAAGTTTATTACTACTATTTAAGAACTATTTTAACTTTAAAAATTATAAATCGTCTGGCATTGATGGAATAGTCTGAAGGAAATTACCAGTTCATTATTCCTCTTTGACTCTACGTAATTTGAGTATTGTATCAGGTACGTTCCTAAAAGGAGTTAGACACACTGTTGTGATACCTCTCTATAAAAAGAAGCTATCAGCAATAAAGAAAATTACAGACCTGTTTCGCTCCTGTCTATGTTCACAAAAATTAAAAAAAACAAATTCAAACCAGCTTCTTTCCTTTTTGGTAAAAAATAATTTAAAAACTGTTTAAAGTAATTATACTTTTAATCTAACTTCTTGGTTAAGACGAAAACGCAGGTATCACGAGCGGGATTCGAACCCACGTTCTTCGGCTAAGGAGAAGGGCCCTATCTTATTTTTATTGTACATCACTGATTTGTTCCTCCATGCAGGGTGCCATCACAGCCTTTGCAGACAACTTTCTGTTAAATATTCCGGTATATAGTTAGATTCCTTTAAACGATTTATAGTTAATAAAAAATCGAATTTTTGTACTAATAAAGGTTTTTCAGGTAGAGAAATCAAAATTATATTGCGTTGCTCTGGTTGTATGTAATAATTCATCAAATTATTTCAAATGTTTTGAGGTACAAAAAGTTAATTAGTTAAGATATCTCAGTGTGATAATACATGATCGTTTGAAATGGGATGAAAAAGTCTATGAAGTCAGAAAAGGTAAAGCAAAAATCTAGTTTTTGTGCATTAAATGTAGCATGAAATTCCATCTTAAAGTTTATTAAACGATTATTCAATCACACATTCAATATGACATTTTCTTATAAGAATATTACCCACCTCATTAGTCACTCAAAAAGAATATTCGAACGATGTATCCAAAGACGTCGCTGCCTGGTTCACGGTGAACGGGTCGAAAATGGAAAAGATCATACTGACACGACTAACTCACGAGGTCATACAAGAATAACTCACAGGGACCTTTTGGACAGAAAGCGACCGCGTAGGTGCCCGTTATGCAAGCATAAATAGCGGTCTTTTCAATTATAGACGGCTTGACGTACACAGTAAATATTTTGCCATATCGTCCTGTGTGAAGTCGTGGGCACGGCAGCGAGCACAGATCTCTGTTCAGATCTTAGGGCTGTAGAGAGTATTAAATAAATATAGTGTTTATGTGTGCTTGTATTGTGCCTGTGTAGACTTTATGTTAATTTATTGGAAGGAATGTAATTTGTTAAGGTGGCCATTCACGATCGCTCCTTGTAGTCCAAACGGAGCGACGCCGTTCCAAAAACCAAGTCACTGAACTGGCGTGCCCGGCTGTGGAGAATATTCGACCGGTCCAAACTCCATCGCGCCACTTCAAATATCTAAGGGGCGTTCGTGAATGGGAAAACCTGGCGTGAACGGTGGAATATTGGACCGCGGGCTTGGTCGTGAATGAGAAAATCCGAGTTTTTTTGGCGCAGTCTCCGTCTTTCTTTCACTGAGCAAACATCTCCGTCCTACATTCTCAAAAAGTGAAAAACGTTTCTTCTTTATTGGCAATGAGATCCAATCGAGATTTTATTGTTGGGGTGATTGAATTGTATGAAAATTTACTATGTTAATGGAAAGTGGTGGACAATGATTACCACGATAGAAATAAAAGAAATTCGGTCCTCACCTGTTGGTCGACCTTTTCAAAACAAAAGATACAAATGCAATGAGAGATGCGGTATTGATAACTCCTAAGCGGTGAGCAGAAATCATAGAGTTTCATGTAGAGTGATGATTTCTCTCATGACTGTCTTTTGTTTTCTAATCAAGGGGGTAACAAGCTGGAGTAAATATAAATAAGTGGTTAATCTTTTTTTGTAAGGTTTTGGTTGAAATGAAAAAATAGTGTCACGAGGGGATTCGAATCCATGACATTCGGCTAAATACGCCGCTGCTCTACCACTTGAGCTATCGTGACTTCGATAGTTCGATCCACTCGGACACCAACTTCTCATCTCAATCTATCTTTCGAATTTTCCCTCTTTTTGCCATTTTTTGGTGTCCGAGAGGATCGAAGTCACGATAGCTCAAGTGGTAGAGCAGCGGCGTATTTATCCGAAGGTTATGGATTCAAATCCCACTCGTGGCACTAGCTTTTCATTTCAACCAAAACCTTACAAAAAAAGATTAATTGAAAAAAGTAATTTGGTCAATAGAACACTAAATATAATGAATAAATAAGACGTTTCATCCATCCTTAAATTGTTCTTCCAAGCAGCGGGTTCAAGGGATCTTTCATCAAATTGATGTTTGTATTACGGCTTCTGTTCAGGAGCCACTTCTTACACCGTTTCCTCTTCGGTTTTTTGTTTTGAATATATAAACAAACAGCAGCATAGCACAAGAGATCGTCATCCATTTTGAGAAGGTAATTCACTAGATGACGTTCGGAGCGACTGGCTGTGGAGCGGTCGTGAATGCCCCCTCAAATTTCAGGCACTCCAAATCGAGCTATACGGCTTGACGCGGTTCCATTTGGAACGATCGTGAATGGCCATCTTTAGTGTGAAAGGAAGGGGTTGTCTAACCCCGCGCTATATCTCGTACTCTGGGATGAGTGTGTGACATCTGGAGAGTAAAAGTAAGTTATTAGCGAGAAGTAGTGGGTTCAACCCGCCCGAGGAATATTGAGTACTCTGAGGCTGTGAATGTGACCAGCATCTATGTTTGTGGTGATGTAGGTATATCTATTGTATGTTTTATTTGTTGTTGTATATGACAACCTGAGGTACAAACGAGAGGCTTGCATTTTAGGATATGGACGTAGTATACATTTAAAAAAATAGAGTCATTAACCAGATCGAGACGCTCGAATACAGCTTAAAACGAAGTTCGCGCGAAAGTACAGAAAAAGAAGGAAAACACGAATATTGCCGGCGATGACCTCAGCTGTTTTTATCGGCCCATAAACCTCCCATTTTATATATATACATATACTCGAACTATGCTCTTAGGTAAAAGAAATGAACATTTGTTACCACTGTTTGTAAAAACAGAATATTACCCTTCCATTATCTTTTTCTATATCGAACACTTAGTTTTTTCACTAAGAAAATTGCATAGACAAATTTAAAAATGTATAATTGTATTTATTGTTTCGTCTATGTAGTAAGGTATTTTTTCTTTTTCATTATGTACTGATTCCACTGTGTGAATATATGAATATGTAAATCCCTTCTTCACTCTCACCTCCAAATTTTGCATTTTCACTAATCATGTTCTCAAGGGTACCTTGTGTTACATTATTTTATGCCCTGTATTAAAATTGTGCTTAATAAAGATGGTGAATATAAAATAAGCAATTATAAAGATGAATCTTTTCTTATGGTGTTGATTTGAGTCATTTGTAGGAGAAGAGGAATTTATTTAAAAACACTTCTATTATTTGTTAAATGTGTTTTGTCAGCTAAATCGTGTATTTGTTAAAATCAATTACGGAAACACTTATTGTTGAGAAGAGAGGAGTTTAAGACATTTTAAACGGGTACTTGTCAGAAAAATCAGTGTCTTATAAACGCCAGGTCTTCCTAAACATTATATAAGCAATTAATCAACAAGGCGCTCTACTCAGAGCGGCCCGTATCATTAATTAACGAGACAAACAATTAGTCACCACCCACGTTAAGCTTTCGTCACTTTTTCTTTCCAAACTTGCGCAGTTTTTTCATGGGGGGGAAAAAGAAAGACGGCATTTTCCGAGCCGCGATCCCCTTTCTCACGGTAATTCCCTTAGCCCCCCGCCAGCATCCCAGCATACCGACCCTACGCACCTCCCCCAATTAACTTTTCCTTTTTTCCACGGCTCTAGATTTTTTATTCTCTTCGTCAGAGGAAATTTAAGGCACATCTCAATTAAAATTTCATTCGAAGAAAGGGAGATTCATCTTTCTTCGCGAATTATGAAGGATTTATGCTTCAGAATAAAATCGCGCTTTTTTTTCAACTTCACTACAACCAACACGTGAAACGTTTCTGTATGTTTTGCACTCCAATCGAATATTACCCAAAAATATAAAAAAAAGCTATTGGTTGGTAAGCTTAAGAGCTTTGTCTACCTGACTCTCCCAGCTTATAGCTAATGCCATGCATTTAAGTTGGAAAAATGCCAAAACGAATATGTCAGATCAAAACTCGGCAAACAACCAAACTATAAGTTGGTTAGATTGTCAGATTCCCCATGGGGTGATGAACCTTTACTTAGGTCGGTTCGTCATCATTTCATTTGACA